TGTAGTATGAAATGTATACAATATAAAATAATTATCTCCTTGATTTTTACATAATTTCTTCTTCCAGAATTCTTATTTAGCCACTGATAATTTAGTAATATCTAAATCTTCATACAGGCCTTGAAGTTGAGTGACCACCTTGGTTGAACAATATCGTCTAAAACTATCACAGTAATCTTCAATTTATCAAAATGTCTGCTCAGAATATAAAATTAATTCTGTCACACAGAAATGTGAGCCTTGGTGCAGATTTCAAAGAAGAAAATTTCATCACCATTGGTCCTCAACTCTAACACAGACTTTTCCACTTTGCATGGTTGTTGCTTGTTTCTTAATGTGAAGCACAGAAACACACTCACAAAACATGCTGCTGTGTCATAGGAAGAAATAAAGTGTCACTACCAGTGTCAACAGATACGATTGTATCTTGTCCCCATTAATGGTGAGTGTGCCATCTGTCACATACAGCACACATGCTACATGACTACAATGAACAGCATAATTTTACACATGTGGGCACTTCTGTAACTTGACGGAAGTGTGCTATGACTTGTTCATGTGAACCCTCAGTTTTCATTAACCCTGTTATTGCCAGCAGGCCTCTGCACCCAGAAATGGAAGCAGACTAGTGACAGCAGTGCTCTTTCTGAACAGGTATATGAATTATATGTTATGCTAGATCATCCTCAAAGTATCAGCGAGGCAAATAAAACCTTCCCTGCTGGCTGAGACAGGTTAATATACTAAAATACTGTTGCTCTAAAATCACAAGTTTCATGACTGTTGAGGGTAACTGCAAGCCAGTTTTACATTGCCCATAAAATTGGCCACCATCTGAGAGCTACACAAATGCAATGCATCAACACAGTCTATATAACTCCCATATATTCTTTACAAGAAATGTTTCACAGCCTCATTTAGTCAAAGCCATGGAGGCAAAATAAACAGCTTGTGATCACATGCTTTGGTTTATTCTTCTAGCACACAGCAGTGACATCAGTTTGAATTTTGTTCTGTCTGAGAGAATTTGCTGTTCCATGTTTTTGTAGAACAAAGAATATGTGATGTCAGGAGCATACAACAGAGGATGAAAGCATGATTTACTGTACACTTTCAGTGCACTTCGAGTAATGAATGGAGACAAATACTTTAGAAGGGGACATAACAATATCAGATTATTCATCTTTGTTTGTTGGCAACCCTGCTGAAAATAAAAGTTTTGGCTTTCATCTCTTATTAATTTTTTTTTATTCAGAACTTAGTTGTTCCATGAGACAACACAACAAACGCGATAGAGATTATAGACACAATTCTGAGGCAACAGAAAGAAGTCCCATGGATTGAATATCTCTGCATCTCCCTTGAGCTGTTACACTTACCTCTCCAGGGCGCTTCTTTATACCTAGAAATAATAGGTATATATATTTCACCCCAAACCAACATAGAAGAGAGCAAGTGCAATCAGTAGACTAGACCACAAAAAACCAGCCATACTCGCAGGGGATATAAACTGTAGAATTGATAAACCCGACAAAAAAACCCAAGAGGTTACGAAACTACTACAGGAAGAAGGATTCTGTCTAGCAAATATAAGAGATGTGATGACATACATAGCGCTGAATGGATGCAGCTGTATTGACCTCGTGTTCAAGAAAGGAAACGAGATAGAAATAAAACAACAAAAAATAAAAACATCATCAACCTCACCACTAAGGAAACACCTACCGATAAGCACAAGATTCAAATATGGGGGCAAAGAACAGCAAACGAAAACAGAAACAAGCACCCTGAAAAAACAAGAAGAATCCAAAAATATGTATTGGGAAAACAAGAGGACATCATGCAAATAATAGAACAAATCGAAATCGACGATGCCACATGGAAGTTGTCTGAAATACTGCAGAATGCTGCCCCAACAGCCAAAGAGAGGGAGGCCAAAATATGGTTCGATGCAGAATGTTACAATATGAGAAAAGCAACAGTAAAGGCACTACACAGGGCAAGACAAACTCAGAATAGCAACGAACTAAAAGAATATGCAGAAAAAAGAAAAAGATACAAAGCA